TGAACTGTAGATCATCCAAAAAGCAAATCGGAGGAAATGAGAGAAGACTGTCAGGAAAGCTTAATTTTACTAGTGCAGTCTGTTTATTATAGCATCATATGAATCCTCATAACATGACAAAATAAACATCTTACTGCATGTGATGCTGATGGTGCACAGGGGGCAGAGGCAACCCACAAATAACTGTGTGGCTGCTTCAGCCGATGCACAGTGTGTGTGTGTGTGTGTGTGTGCACGCGCAGGAAAAACAACGGAGCAGCAGATCATTTGGACCTGTTTACACTGGAGGGAGTAGCTGCGTGAGGACGGAGGAGTTAAGAGATCTGTGACTGGATGAGAAATCTAAATCTGAGASATTACTGAACACCTGAGACTCTGCCTCTCTGATGAACGGAGGGGTCAGGGGTCACAGTGTGTGCAAACACGTCTATGATGCCATGAAATGTCTGAGCCGTCAGTTAACCATCAACTGTAAAATAAATAAATAAAAAATAAATAAAACGATTTGAAGCCATGACATCCTGTTTGGGACCAAGTCTGCACTCGGGATGAGGGTCTTTAAGTCCCGCCGCCTCCTCCTGCAAGATCATTTGAATTTATTCTAAACATGAAATAACTGACTTTAAAATRCATTTTCAGTACACGAAAAACACGGTCTGAGGTGTGTTTTTATTGGTTGTTTATGTGGAGGGGGTGGGACTTAAAACATGTTCTGGAACCATAAAGTTAAAGAACACCAGATCAGGGATCTGCAACCTTTGCCATCAAGAGTCCTTTCTGCTCCTTGGCTCACAAATAAAATGTGTTTGGATCTTTCAAATGTGATTATCAACTGGTGGTCCGTGGGCCATTTCCAGTTTGTTGAAGGCGGGCCTTTTCGGGCAGTGGGGGTGACATTACAAAACTAAAATATGTAGCAAAATGCAACATTTATTATTATTATTTACACTTTAGGACAAAAGAAAAGACCATATTCATGTAAACAAGTAAAATACTGTTTATAGTTTATACACATTTTAATAAAAACTACAACTGAACTCAGCAGGCATATATTTTTTCCCTTAATTCTTATTGTCTTGTTGGTAGCCATGATTAGTTTAGATGGATTGAAATATAGAATGTGACCCCATAGACCTCTGCCCTAGAGTGAGCCCTACCTATCTTGTCCATGAATATATAAAAGCTAGATACCTTACAGTACATGCATTGCCACCATATTGGATGGGTCTCTCCTCACTTTAGCAGCACAAGAACAAACAAATATGTCCATATTTTGTGCATGAACTGGTACAGTATTGAAAGCAAATCACATGGTCATACTGAACAGTAGTTTTGATTATTTGACCATTTATAAGTTTGTCACTGTGGCTAACATTTAATAGTTCTCTTTACTGAGAAGGTGAAACATTCAAGTCAGAAAGAAAGATGAGTGAATATCTCATCAGAGAAACGTGTAGCAAAGAATAAAATACTTTATTGCAGGGTTTTTCGTTCACAAGTAGTCATGTACAGAAAGTCTGTATAAAAAAACGTAATTTTAATTAGGAATGTAAAACAAGTTTTCTACATCATAAAGAAGCTTCTTGTACAGAAGTTGGACAAAATCTCAGAAAGTAGGATCAGCGACAAACTGCTGCTTAGATCTTATGTGTAAAAATGAAAGCACTAGTGTTAAAATGTGGATATCCCCGACACGTTTACCGATAAAAGAAATAAACAAAATGAGCTCARATTCAGTATACTGAAGGTTGTGTGCAACGAGCTAAAGTTGCAGAGAGGAAAGCTTGAAATGTGTGGAACGTATTCCAGCTTTTCTCTGAACAAAGTGTGACAAAGAACAGACAGGACAAACAGACACGATCAAATGAAATATGTCCAAAACTGAACAACATGCCAGAGAAAAGAGCCAAGTGCAAGAAAATTATATATAT